GGGTGGCTCAGTCGGTTAAGTGTCCGACTTTGGCTCAGGTCATGATCTATCGGATTGAGCATCACATTGGACTCTGAGCACCACATTGGACTCTGTGCTGACAGTCTGGAGCCTGCTTCAGAGTCTGTGTCTCCCTCTCTCTCTGCCCCTCCCCCACTCACGAGTGCACGCTCTCTGTCAAAAATAAACATTAAAAAAAAAAAAGAGCTAGACACTTAACCAACTGAGCCACCCAGACGCCCTTCTATACATTTTAAATAGCAAGTCAAATGAATTATAACTAAACTTCATTTTTTTTTCTGAAATGAGACTTAAATGAAATGAGCTTTTTTCCCAAATGACTTTTAAATGAAGTGAGCTTTTAAAATTATTAGCCTATGTACTGTGTATTTTTGTCCTGATGTTTACTTGTATTTCAGTAATATTTAACTGTATTAGAATTTTGGAAATGTCACATCTCTAGAGCTAATATATACTATAATTGACTTTAAAATTTTGATCCCCTGCTTCCAAGAGAAATACATCATGGTAATATTTTTCCGATAAAAATTAAATTCTTATACATACTGCTTTTAGGACTAAGGAGTAATATTTATTTCTAAAGACAGATTAAGAAGAACAATTGTTACCTTGTTGCCTTTTGATAAATATAAAGGGAAATTTTAAACTAGTTTAAGAGGAATTTAAGAGAATTTGTTCTTCGTCAGATTTTGCATATTTTTAAAAGCTGAGAAGCATTCTCCACATTGCAGAACAAAATACTTCATTTTGTATTATAGAATGATACGTATATATTTAAAAACCTGTAGCAAGCATTATCCTAAACGAAGGAGACATCAGAAGCATGCTTTGAAGTTAAGAATGAGAAAAGAATGTGTATTCTTGCTACTTCTGTTCAACATTGTAGTGGAGAGTGTAGCCAGTGCAGGGGCACCTGATTGAAAACGCAGAAATAAAACTGTAATGATCAGAAGCTATTCTTTATGGTGAAAACTCAAAAAGATATACAAGTATACTATCAAAATACTAACCTCAAGAAGAATGGATATAAAATTAATATACAAATATCAGTAGGATTCTATATATCAACAATAAATAATTAAAGGAAATATTGTCAGAAAATATAAAGTACGTAGCAACAAATCTGAGAAATGACAATGAAGATTTCTTTAGGGAAAATTATAAAATTTCATTATGAGAGGGTGGAGAACACCTAAACCGAAGGAAAGATAGGTCATGTTTACTAATATCAATATTATAAAGATGGCATTTTCCCCCAAATTGACATACAGATTCAATGCAATTCCAGACTCTTGAGATTTTTCATTATATATGATAAGATTATTCTGAACAGGAAAAGGAGGATATTTTATAGAAGAGAAATAGCAATGACAAACTGGCTTTATCAGATACTAGAATTTATTATAAAGAGAAGTATTAATTAAGGCAGTGTAGTATTGAGGTAGCAATAGACAGATTGACCAGTGGAATAGAATTGTGACCCCAGAAACAGACTTAAGAAAATATGAGAATTAAGTTGGATTTTTCTAACTCTTGCTATATACAAAAATCAGCTGAAAATGGATTACAAATTTTAGTGTAAATCAACACTTTTAAAAACTCTCGATAGAAAATCTTGGTAAGCAGATTTTAGTCCTTGGCATATACAAAGAGAAGACACAAAACAAAGTTTTATAAAACAGTTGATACATTTGATGGTATTCTTAATTTCAGTTTATTGTATTTTTCAATTCTAGAATTTATTTGGTTTCTTTTCTAATAGTTTCAAGTTCTGTACTAAGTTCAATCTTGTCTTTCAACTCCTGAGTACATTAAGTATAGTTATTTTTAATATTTTATTTATTTACTTATTTATTTATTTATTTATTTATTTATTTATTTATTTAGAGATAGAGACCGTGAGCAGGGGAGGGGCAGAGAGAATCCCCACGCCAAGACTACACTGTCCTTTGGAGCCAGCTGAAATTTCAAACTCACAAACTGTGAGATCATGACCTGAGCTGAAGTCAAGAGTCAGATGCTTAACTGACTAAGCCACCCAGGCACCTCTAAGAGTAGTTCTTTTAAGTCAGGTTTCTGAAGACTTCACTATTTGAATCTTTTGCAGTGTTTCTATAGACTCTTGTTTTTCTTTTCTTTTTTTTTTTGTTTTAAATCACTTTATTTTGTCTCCTCATATGCCTGGTTATTTGAAATAGAATACCAGTCATCGTATATGAAAAATTCTAAGGATTTTAGGTCTAGGATGTTGTTATCTGCCTTCAGAAGATTTTCCTATGGTAGGTGACTAGTCACTAGCAATCTCAGATCACCTCAAATCAGTGAATGATTTAGGTTATTTGAAAGTGGACTTCATCTCTGTGGACCTGGTATCTTTCCAGTTCATTCTTTTT